TTGAGATAGAGCCTTGCTAAGCCATTAAATTCCCCAGGCTGTGCTCGAACTTGTGATCCTCCTGTCTCAGCCTCCCAGAGTGCTGGGATTGCAGGTGTGCACCACCACCAGGCTAATAGATGGCGATTTTGAAGGCTTTTTGGCCCTGCATTTCAATTACATATGGGCACCCCAGAATGTCAGGAGGAAGGGCTCAGAACCAAGATGCAGGTAGAGCCCCAGGGGGAGAGAAAGGGGTGTTGAACTAATGTCCTAGGATTTCAGAGCAAGAAATGTGTCCGGTGTCCTGCCAAAAACAGACAGCCAACCCCCTGTGAAACACCCTCTCTCCTCGGTGCTCAACACTGCTGGTCCTCACCTAAGATGTTACATTTTTTGAAGTACAGTTTATATAATTTAAACCTTTCTCAGGCGTGCAGTTTGGAGGCATTTTACACATCCTCAGTGTTGTGCAACCGACTCTCTGGCTCCAAAACACCTTTGTCACCCAAAAGGAAAACTTGTAAGCAGCCACACCCAGCAACCCCTAACCTGATTTTAGTGTCCACAGAGTCACCTGCTCTGGTTTCAGAACATTTCACACAAATGCAGGTGTTCTTACAGTTTCAAGTTGGGGCTCCTCCACAGGACTTTCACGTGATCAGAGCTGTTTTATTGCTTTTTGCTATGGACTCACAGGGCCAGTGGGGATCCTGAGTAAAAAGGTCTGGGCTGTTCTTTGTGAGGGGAAGGCAGTGAGGAGAGAGCAGGCAGTGGACAGACCTGTTGCCTGGCACCAGTGAGCACTGTGATGAAAGCTTAATGCACATGTAAAGTAAATAGCAATATGTCCTTTTCGTGGACAAAGACACTTGGAAGATACCCCATTTCCTTCCAGGCATAGAGATGCCTGGTGTCTAATGCTCAGGATGTGAAAGTCTTCAAAGCACCTGTGCTGAGTAGAAACTGGGAATAGGAAGAAATGGGCCTGAATACTGTTTTGTTTTCTTTTTTAGAATTTCTGTGTTTATAACTGATGCCTTTCTGCTTGGGGTCCCACTTGATGTTTTGATACATGTATACATCATGTGATGTTTAAATAGGGAAAAACGTATCTGTGTCCTTGAACGTTTATTGTTTCTTGGTGGTGAAAACATTCAAAATCCTTTCTCCTAGCTTTGGTTTACCTTTTTTACATATTATTTTTGAAGATTTGAAACATGCTTGAATAATCTTTGATGCTTTAAAAACACAGACTCTGCTAATATCATATATCGTCCTAAATGCTGAATTTAGGCATAACTAACTCGTACCTGAGTGGAGTCCTTGCACTTGCATTTCATTTTGAGATCTCATGTATTACATGATAAAATACTACCCACTCAAGGAAAACCAGAGGGACAGTTACAGTGGGTATGAAGTCTTTATTGCCACAGACTGACATTTCACAAGTTTAATTTTTTTATTTTGTGAGTACATGTTTGCAGCACAAAATAACACTCATTGTGTGGCTTCCGTACACATGCAGTAGTTTTTTGAAATGGGACTATGTATTCGTCTCTCTAAACAGGAAAGTAAAAGGAAGCTTGATATTGAAATTCTGAAATGCATGCTTTTCCTAGAGAGTCCTTTCCTTGAAAAGCAGTTCTCCCCGTGGGCTTTAATTTCATGGGCACTTTACATGAAACCAAATGAGCTGTATTCTTCCTCGCACAATTACTTTGCATATGTGTTTGAAAACCAAATCAATATACTCTACATGCGAAGGAGACTTTTTCCTTAGCCACAACACCCTCGTCACCCAAGTTTTTGGCAGTGCACAGAAATCAGTCAAAACCTTTGTGCTAGCAGCTCAGAAAGGAGCTGACACAGCCAGAATAGCCATGTGGTGCCTACATTGCTAACTGGCTTATCAGATGGCTTTGTTGCCATGACTAACTAAATAATATCCACCAATGGCTAGGAGTAAATCTCTTGGAAAACGGAGGGAGCTGGAAGATAAAAAGGCAACAATTAATCATTAGCTAAAGCAAAAGCTATTTGGCCTCTTGCATCTGGGGGCCAGACTCCAAGGGATTTCTGAGGGCCCTGCTTTCCAAATTCAGACAGGCCCTGCAGCAGTAGTGGAAGTCTGCCAGCATGCAGAGTTCATGAAGACATCATTTTCTGATTTTTTTTATTTTTGGTACCGGGGATCAAACTCGGGGTCCTTGCGCTTGCTAGGCAGGCGGCCGCACCATTGATCTAAATCCCCAGCTCCATTTTCTGATTTTAAATCCTAACCTGAAGAGGACCTAAAAAGGTAGGTCCCGTACTTGTACTGACAACCCTCAGTGAAAGCAATATTTCTATGTAGCAAAAATGAACTAATAAAAAAATTAACAATAATAATAAAAATGGTGAAATGGGATCTAGAGTCAGAAGGAGGAAGACAGGGTGGGGGGAATAAAAAGAATCGAGATTGTTAAGTACATGACCTTATCCCAGAGATGAATGTAAATATCATGAGATAATAAAATAAGTAACGTGAAGCAGGCTTTTTTCTAAAAAGGTATTAATCTACTACAGTGTTTCCTAGCTTGAAGACCTTAAAATGTGTTTCAAATGTGACGCATTGGCTGGCAAACATCCTTGCTCGAAGCCATTGTGAGAATCTCCATTCCTTGCAGACTCAACGCCCCACCTGAGGCCCCAGCGTCCGGCAGCAGTCCCAGCTCCTGCCCTCCTCGGAATCAGACTTTTCCTCCCAACACTTCACTTCATTCAGAAGAGATCCACTTTCTAAATGCCTTGGTGATAGCTCGGTGAGCACCCACATCATGTCCAGAGTACGAGCGGGTAGGAAATGGGGGACTTGGGACTCTGGAGCCGGACAGACATGGGATCAGTCCCTTGCCCTGCTATTTACAATGGAAAAATACAGAGCCCCCATCCTTCAGCCCCATGTGTGGACACAATCTGTACACAGACAGAACACAGTCCCGCAGCCCAACGGCCGCGGTTCAAACGCTAACTGCACCACTTCATCACTCCGTGTCCGTTTCCTTGTTTGTAAAGAAGGGAGCACAAGGGTATCCTGCATCCGAAGGCTGCTATGGGATTTAAATGGGTCAGCAGGTGCAAATCACTTTGTGTCTAGCGCATGGTGAGAACCCCACGAGAGTCTGATTTCCATCCTAGAAATAGTGAAGTTATTGGCATTATCACCTAATAGCTTTGGAGGATTACACAAAATCATGAACTGCTTGACAAACAGCATACAGTAATTGTAGCTATGACAAAAGCATGATCTCAGAACGTGAGGGCATATTGTAAACATCCACTGGACGGTACTGATTTCCGTGAGTCACCGTGGGATTCTGGGTCCTGTGCAGGTGCTGGTGATGGCGAGGTGCAGCCTGGCCTGGCAGGGAAGCAGACCTGCCCTTGGTGCTTTAGTGCAGGGACACACGTCTGCAACGGCAGGGACTCATCGCAGGAGTTGGTGACAGGGAGTGAGGAAGACTGGGGAAGGCTTCCTCCACCTCCTCCACCCAGAACCTCAACGCACAGCCCTCGGGTCCCCCAAATGTCCCTGTCTTCTCCCACATGCCTGCCCCTGCCGTACCTAGGGCACATTCCTTATCACATTTTATTATTTTTTATCTATCTTCTGTCTCATCTCATCCAATTGGAATATAAATTCCACAAGATCGGTATTTTATTTGACTTTGCATATCCAGAACCCCAACACGTGGGCCCTTCCTAATCAACATAAGCTCTCATTTTCCTGATGGATGCTGAGAGAATGTTCACTGCATCCTGGAGTTCATAGAAGTAGAACCTGCTTGAAGAAAAAGCCAATAAACTAGACCAGAGATTGTTCAAAGCAATCTGTGCAGGGAGAAAATCAATTTTGTTCATCATTTCCTGACTTCCTCTGTCCTTAGTCTCTGAAGCACTTGCTTTCAAAATGTACAGCCGATTTAAAAAAAAGAAAAAAAAAGGTAGCAGGCACAAAATATGCCCCAGAATGTCGCACCCCTACACAGTCCCAGTCGTGCCGTTTAGGAATCTTTTCCATCCAGTTCCAGACTGTGACCTAGATTTCTCACAAAGTAAGTGGAAAGTCATCCCTACCTGTTGGCTGAATGAAGTTGTTCTCCTCCATGGCTTGCTGGGGAGGCGCAGGAGATCAATTCAAGCTCTGCCCAGGTGGGCGGTTAGAAGAGATTTGGCCCTCAGTTCCTCCCATGTTATGTCCCCTCCATGTGGCACCCTGAGGGCACCCGGAGTATGGTGAGACTGTCCCCGCTGAGTTGTGTAATGCAGCAAGGCTGGGTTTGTGGCCATAGGCCAGTAGTTCTTAGCTTTAGTAAGCACCAGCATTTAATGAGGTTGTTATTACAAGCACAGACTCTTGGGCATCAGTTGCAGGGGCTCAGCCTGACAAAAGCCAGAAATCTGCACCCTAAATGAGCACACAGCCCCACCGCTCCGCGGGTGATGAGATGCTGGGCCACTTGAAGGCTCACCAGCACCAGCCTGGCAAGGATATCACGCTGAGAACAACTGTTTTCTCCTTCTCCCCTTATGAGTTTAACTTTGTATTGTTATACATTTAAAATCAGCAAACTTTCTCTTCTTTCTAATTTGCTGTGTCATGAGGGTTGTACCCGTGGGACAGTCTACAAATGGGTCCGCCTGTGGATAAAAAGTTGCAGTGCTCATTACCCACCCCATACCTCATAGGAAAAGACCCACATATAATTTCTGTGAGTAGGTAACCCTCCACTGACCACTTAAACACCACCTTCTTCTACCAAAAAGCGACCCTTGACTTTTACCGTGTTCATCTTCCGTAGAGAGCATCGGACTTTACCCCTTCTCTGCCTAGAACAACATGAATATCCCCCCAGTTACGGAAATGAAATCCATTCAATTCCCACCTTCACTGCACTCCTGGCTGTTCTCACATCCTCTGCTTGGGGGCGACCTACTGTCTTTCCACCACCTATCCCAGTCTACTCATCAGGAGTATTTACTAGGCATGTTCTGGGACAACAGCCTCTGGATTTCTCCTAACATAGTGAGACAAGCAAACCCCTGCCAGTATTCACAATACTGCGGAGCACTGTTACTTTCTGTTGCAGTCACCATAACTGAGATGTTAAGTAATGATCATGGACAGCTCTGGTTCTTCCCTGCCTAGCATTTCTTGGAACAAGAGTCCAGCTTGCCTTTGGGCAGCTGTCCATCTCCCATTCGATGTGGTTCCAATGGGATTTCAAGCCATGCCAACTCACCAAGCACAGGGGTTGGTTGAGGGGAGTGCTCCGGTCCAAGCTGGATCTTGAGCAAAGTGACACAAAGATGGAAAGAGTTACAGCCATGTCACCCTGGCAGCAGCACCCAAAAAGGGCTTGTTCTGGGAGCTCCAGAGCTTCCTGGCTTCTTCTTTCCAAAACTTCCTTTAATTCTGTAAAGCTGTGCAGTTTCCTTTCAGTATATCCCATTCTTCCTAATTAATCCAGCTGTAACCAAAGAAATGCAACTCATATAGTGATCAATACTTCTTCAGAAGCCAAGCCAGAAGTACAAAATGCCAAACATCCAGGTCTTCCATAACTGTCATGTTATAATACACATTTTCATGCTGTTTAAATTCAAGTGGTAATTTCCCAAATGGGATAGTTGCCTAGCGGCAAAACCAATTAGAATCCCTGTGAATGTTCTTTGAAAATAATCAGTTTCTATTCCAGTTGCTCCTGTAAATACATAATGTCTTGATTGCTTTCTTATTGCTGGGACAAAATACCCAACACCCACAATGTAAAGGAGGAGAGGTTTATTTCGGCTCACGGTTTCAGAGGTTTCAGTCCATGGTCGGCAGGCACCAAAGCAGAAACAGGACAGCAAAAGAGCACTTCCAAGGGAAGGCAGCTCACATCATGGCTCCCAGGAAGCAGAGAGCAGAGAGGGGAGCCAGGGAGGGAGATGCATTCTTCCAGGTCACACTCCACTGCCCACCTCTTCCAACCAGGCCCATCTCCTAGGAGCACACTCAGCTGCTGGACTCACCAGTGGAGTAATCCACCCGTGAGCACAACACCCCTGTGATCCAACTACCCAGCAAGAGCCCATGCTGAGCACAGGGGTGTCTGGGGGGGGAACATCCAGATCCCAGCCACATCAGAGACCAAAATATGTACACTACAAGGATGTTTTGGGAGGGTTTTACATTATTTATTCATTGCACTTGGAAAATATAATATGGTTAAATAAAGCCTGATCTTCATGCCTCAAGAACCTATCACATCTGCTACATGTCACATGCCAGGTTGGAGAAGCAGGTTCCTTCCCAAACTAAATAATTCAACAGAGCCAATTTCCTTAAACCCCTCCCCTATCCTGCTCATAACCCTCTTAAAGGAGAAAATGAACTCTAATCAGTATGACTTTACCTAATATTCTTGGCAAGTCTTCATTTGACTAGCCAAGATGCATCTTGTAGAAGAAGATATTTCAGACAGAGGACTCATATGTAGAATATATGAAGAGCTAAGACCCAAACAAAAACTGGGTGAGAGAAATGCATGGATACTGCACAGAGAAGAAGTACAAATAGCCAACAAGTACATAAAGAAAGGCTCAGCATCACTGGTCGTTAGAGAAATGCAAATTAAAACAACACTGAGATTCCCATCTCACTCTAGAAACAATGGCCACCATTAAGAAATCAACCCATAGCAAATATTGCTTAGCTGTGGGAGGGTCAGTGAGGGAATGTCTACCTTATTTGTGGGAGTGTAAACTAGTGCAATCACTACCTGAATCAGTGCGGAATTTCTCAAAAAACTAATACTAGAAACTCCATTCGACCCAGCAGCCTCTCTTCTAGGTGTCTTCTCAAAAGAGTTAAATACATCAGATTACAGCAATACATGCATCTGTTGGTTACAGCAGCAGAATTCATAAAAGCTAAATCTTGGAAGCAGCCTGCTTATCCATCAACAGAGGAATGGATAAAGAAAATATGGTATTTATACACAATGGAGTACTACTCTGCCATAAAGAAGGATAAATTTGAGTTATTTGTGGGAAAATGGATGCACATTGAGACCATAATGTGAAGTGAAATAAATCAGGCACACAGTTTAAAAATTGCATAGCTTCTCTTATATGAGAAACTCAAAGTATAAATAAAGAGCAAAAGAAAAAACAGATAATAGGAAGTAGGGAGATAGGTCCTTCTTAAAGGAGGGGATCAGGAGAGGGAGGGAGTGGGGAGGGAAGGAAGGGGAAGGGACTGGAAAGGGGGAATTAAGATGTGTTATTGACATGCACCAACTCCGTCAGGAACGAAAACTCCGTAAAGGTGAGTGAATTTTTTAAAAAGAAGCAGAAAGACATGTCCCTGCCAGTCGATGACAGCTGCTGGTGTAGGAAGCCCCAGAGCTGCTCCCATGCAGGCCAACCTACTCGCTCTTGTTTCCTAGAGGACCACGCAAAGCCTCCACCCACAGCCCTAGGTAGGGCTTTTTAAAAATGAAGTCTTTAACTTTGGATGGAGGAAAAAGTAGTCAAGGCAATTCATCTGGACCCAAGTCCAAAGTAAAGATGGTTTGGTCATCAGAGCGTGCTGAGAGCTTTTTAAAAAGATTGTTTAATTTTAGCTACAGTACTTTGCCACTATTAATCTGTCAACAATAGGTATTTATTCTGGGCTCCACGCGGTTTGGATTGCTTCATTCTGACATTCTCGCCTCATTCTTGGAAGCAATTTACCTATTACCTCTCATACTTGCCAACAGTTGCCAAAGAAACGTTTCTTTCATGTGCATGTGCTTGTTTGTGCTTGTGTGTGTATGCACGCAAGTGTGTATGCACGCAAGTGTGTGTGTGTGTGTGTACTAGACCTTTATTATACCTTTCTGAGAAACATCTCTTTGGGAATAACTATATATTGATTTCTTCAATTTTATTGGGCACGAGGAAGGAAAACATAGTTTCCAACCCTCATATTGGAGAGGTTTCACCTTAATGTGGAAATAATATATCTTAAAACACATTTTTCCATGCCGACTACCCTACCACCATGATTCCTAAACGATAGTGCATGGACAAGCCTGCCTCCTTTGATGGTCTGGATCATAAATGTCCACAGGCCCATGTGTGGGAAGCTTTGTCAGCAGCCTGTGGGGCAGTGGAAACTTTAAGAGGCAGTGCCTATTACAGGAAATGAGGTCATTGGGGGAGTGTCCTATTATAGGAAGTGAGGTCATTGGGGAGTGTCCTTAAAGGCCATATTGGGACCACTGCCCCTTCCTCTCTCTTTCTCCTTGCCCCACCCCCGTGATGAGATGAGCAGTTTCCTCTGCCACACTCCCTGTCATGATGTCCTTCTTTACTACAGGTCCGAAAGGAGGGAGGTCTTTCAAAAGCTTGAATTTCCGGGCCTAACCTCATCCATTGAATCAAAATCACTTTGAGGAAAAACACATCCCTTCAGAAGGATAGAGATGAGCTGCGTGTGCTATAGAAGAAAGTGTCTGAGATACTGTGATCTGGAAAAGCAATTTATATGTATAGAATAATTATATCTATGGGAAAAACATATATGTACACATACATATGATATATTGTGTACCAAAAATTTTTGGAAGGCAT